TTCTTGAAGTTACATTTTTAGTGCTTCTTGTAAACCCCAAAAAAATACATGTCTAAGTTAGTGTCTTCAAACTCAAATTTGAGAACACACATCAAGGAAATTGTAATAATATAATAAATATAGCCTGACCGCGGGAAGGAATCACTGTTCGCGATCTTCTGTGCATTAAATCACGTTGGAAGTTCTTCGAAATCGATCCTCTTTCCGCGGCTCGACAGAAATAAGTATAACAAATATATAATTTATTTAGAAATCCTAAAATTATAAAATGAAAAACTGTAACTTTAACTTTTCAATTACTTTTTTTCTTAACTTAACTTTTAACTCAATTAATTTTATTATGGACTAACTTGTATCTTAACTAATTGTAAGTTAAATTTTTAGACTGTTAACTTTAACATAACTTAGTTTAAAAAATATAGTAACTTACCCAACCCTGTGTATTAAAAAACTTGTTACTAACTGCATATTGTATAATGTATACTGTTGTCCTATAATTTGTAGTATTTGAGATTATTATGTATATAAATTTGCTCAATATTTTCTATAAGAAATTAAAAAAAGATACAAATTCTTAATCAGTAAAGAGAAATTAACTGAGTTTCTTGTAGCTTTTACTGAATTAAGGACTAATTTTATCGCATATTAGCGAGATATTAGCATATCGGCAAGAAAAGTTACAAAATCGAAGTTTGTTGAAACATGATGAGAAAACATAGTAAAAATATAAAAAATTTTGAGACAAATTTCGAAGAAAAAAAAAAGATTCGAACAAACATTGAACACGGTGTATTTATCATTTTGCTCTTTATTGAGATATTTATATACACATAAATTTATCCGTACATTATAGTTTTTTCTTATTGGGCATTGTAAGCTTATATACATACACAGGATACCCTGGTATAGTACAATCGGGAAGGTAATCCTACATAAAAAAATAAATTGAAAATGTACAATAATTTTTTTTTACATGAGGCTTCGTTTCCGAGAAAGTCGTATTTAAATTCAGCAACGGCTTTCCTCCTTGTTAGACTTGAATGACTTTGATTAACGCTTTCCTGTGAATATCATTGAATTCCCGTTCCAGCAATTTATCTTGAATACGAATATGAATTGTAAGAAATGATACGGTAAAAATTGTATATTTATAGAAACACAAAGAGATACGCTTGGTATTTCACATGTATTGCCTGAAACTTAAATTAATTTTCCGTTTTTAAAGGCGTTTCCGCGCAATTATAAGATCTTGCATATACTTGTATACGCATTGATTTTCTCACGCTACATCCTACACTAAGTAATTGTACAACGTCAGTCTTTAACGAAACGCTCGCTTCTCGTGAATACACGAAATATTTCTCTCACTCTCTCTCTCTCTCTCTCTCATTCTCTTGTATTTTTTGTCGCTCGCTCTCTCTGACTTCATTAGAAAAATTCATTGCTTATCTCAACCTTCTACCTACCTAATATCTGTACACGCTTTACAACTTGGCACACGCATCCGGTATTCTCATACACTTTCGCGAGATTCTTTAAGAGGTGCATGATATTCTTATGCAAATGACTATGTACGATTATAATAACTGCCTGGCACTTAGAATCTGCATTTCAAGAGCATACATTTTACAATTGACAACGGTATCGTAAAAATCTCAACAAGATGTTAACAATTAACATAGACAATCACATACAGTGTTCTAGAAGTCGCATATTTCTCTCAGACATTTCTCTTAGGCTTCATTTATCAGAAAGATCAGGTGAGAGATATCTCGCTTGTCACGCACCTTTAAATGTAGATATTATTTTAGTCGGTAATAATTATAATTATATTTTTATTTAAAAGCATCCTAAATTAAATAAAAGTGAATTTTTTTAAATCTTCCCTCTTTTACGAAATCTCTCTTTTCTTAATTAATTCTAAATCTAATTTATACGACTTATAGGACAGAGTACATAAACTCTATATGAATATTGTACAATCTGCTGTATTGATAAGCGCCAAGCTCTCACCGGTAATGAATAAAATAAAATCACAGCTTCTTTACGTATAATATGAAGAAAGGCTTTCTCCTGGATAACCAGTGAAATGTACGCATGTATTAACTATGTATTCTCCATTCTCAGTTTTCTTTATCGGAATCTGGACCGATTAAGTAAAAATATGTGACTGTGGTTTTAGAAAACAATACGTAAAATGTATAATATAAACTTTTGAACACCATAAAACTGTGCAAAACGTATCGAATATATAAAATTTAATTCTAAGACGTTGATGTAAAATGTTAATACATATAACTTCATTCAGAGAATTACATAGCCATTGTGCAAAAACGAAAACACATATATTATAATAATTGGTAATTAATAAAAATCTAATGAAATGGCACGCATTTGAAAATAATATAAACATGTAATAAAATACTTAAACTCTTTTAAAATTATAATCTTTTATTATGCTTTAATGAAAAAAATTGAAGGTTATAAATAAAAAAAACTAGATAAACTGAGTAAAATTATTTTTTAACAATTGTTACACGGTTTATTTAAAAAAAAGGATTAACGTCTCTTTAATAAACAATCTCTGTAAGAATCTTAAAGTCCACAATTCGTTTTTTTTTT